GTGATTTAACTCCTAAATGGCAGTTACTTAAGTTAAAGTTGAATAAGCATTTAACATGTTTTGTGTATGATAGCTTCAGACTTTGTCCCAGATGATATGTTATGTTGCATATTTTGCATGACATTAAATATTTTCTCCTTTTCTATGAGATAAATTGGAATAAGATTTTTAGTGAGAATTATCCACACTGAATTTTAGAAAATTAAAACCAAATAGAAAAAATTGAGACTAGCTAATTGAGCTGTGACTATGGTTGAGTTGGAGAATGTCCCCGATCAATTATTTTAACCTTAAGTTGGCCATTTAGATTTAATTTGCTGAAATTGTTCATTTATTGCATAACTCTTTCTCTCTCTCTCTTTCTCAGGTGATCCCAGGATTGATGGGTACCCTAAAACACAGGGTAAAAAAATGGATAGAGTCACTTAATATTGGTAGCAAAACATATGTTTAAAACACGTTATGCTAAAATAATACAATATCCTCCCATGTAAAAAGTCACAAGGGGAAAATATGCAGCACTGAAGAAAAGAAAACAAAAACCAAATATTTTTACAAACGCTAATTACCCTGCCATATAGGAATGTGACAATTAGAATTTAAAGTTGTAAATAATAATAATCTTAAGTACTTTGGTGGGCAAAGTCCCTGCAGCCTAGAAAATGAAAAACTGTGCGATTTCTCAGATATGTCACTGTTTACATTTTGCAACTCCATGCCTACTAATGGCTGTCAGACAGTCAGCCACTAGATGCTTCTGAAACAAATTGATTAAATAACTGAATCTGTTTGACATCCAGTGTCAGCATGCATAGTATACTGGTGCAGAATGCTGTAGGCATCTCGTGCTTCTCAATGAAAAGATGAAGAATGAGAGAATTCCGAAATAATGGACTGGGGGATTGTAGTAATTGACAAGCATGCATTTTGTGTACTCAATACTTCTCTATGAGAAGCATCTGATTAGACTAAAGACATAAGGATTGATGACTTCATCAAATGAAAATCAGATTGTAGGGAGGAGTCTGTCCTTGAGCTGGAATGTATGTTTTATTAACACAGTGTCAATATGTTTTTGATATATAAAAAAAAATAAAAAAAATTATATATATATATATATATATATATATATATATATAGCCGTAATAATCTAAACAGGTTAATATCTAAAAACATAAGTTTTTTTTTCTTAATTACAGTATTTCTGTAAACATTATAATATGTTGAAGAGTACATTCTACTAGTAAAAAAATGAATCCATCAAAATTATGAACACCAGGACTAAAGCACTATTTACAAATAGTGATGTCTCGAACGGTTTGCCGCGGACTGCGAACATATGCGCTGTTCGATCCGCCCCCTATTCGTCATCATTGAGTAAACTTTGAACCTGTATCTCACAGTCAGCAGACACATTCCAGCCAATCAGCAGCAGATCCTCCCTCCCAGACCCTCCCGCCTCCTGGACAGCTCACTAAGAATGCAGCTTCACAATGAATGTAAAATGGATGCTGTCCAGGAGGCGGGAGGGTCTGGGAGGGAGGGTCTGCTGCTGATTGGCTGGAATGTGTCTGCTGACTGTGAGGTACAGGGTCAAAGTTTACTCAATGATGACATAGGGGGTGGACCGAACAGCGCATATGTTCGCCGTCAGTGGCGAACCGTTCGGGACATCACTATTAACAAAGCTTGGAACAGAAACAAACAAAAACGTTTTTTTGTGTGCAGATTTATGAAAAGTGAACGTTTTCACCACTGGATGGCACTGTTGATTCACAATCATAGCATTTCTTATCAATTATGTCCAAATCACATAGTTTAAAAAAGTGTATCAAGTATAAAAACACAATCAAAATGATTTTCAGGTAGTTTGATACTTTGTACATGATCACAAATGCAAGTAAAAATAGCCCATATAAAAAGAATGAACCATTCTTAAATAATTTTGAGCTATAAACAGGGACAATTATACAAATCTGCAGTTCTCAAACAATTACATACAATAAATATTTGGACCCTGACACAAGTTTTGTTATTTCAGCTGTTTACCAAAATAAATTAAAGTTACAGTTAAATAATAAATATGGGCTTAAAGTGCAGTCTCCCAATTTAAATTTTTGGGTTGAGAGAATTGACATCCAAATTGGAGGAAGGCTTAGTATTTACAGCTCTTTAATATGTGACAGCAGAACAATACTGTGAAAGTGCAATCTGAAGTGATCTATAAAATGTTATACACAGTGTAAAAAAATACAATTGCATCAGAAAATGTTTTGTGCAAAATCCAATCAGTGCACTTTGTGATAAGGTGATAAGAAAGAGCACTTACTCTATTATAGCCTGAGGAAAAGAACTGTAAAATATAAATTCCGGGTATAGGTTGTGCAATTTCGAAACATAAAATCAAAAGAGAAAAAATAATAGTGTAACTCTGTAACAGGAATTGTAAATGAATAAGAGAATTAGGCAACTCACAAGAGGGGAACAGTGAAAGTCTGCTCTAACTTTGACAGCTCAGGTATCCTATAGTCCGAACCACGATGTGACAAGCAGGACAGTAACTGGATACAAGTAAGTCCTTTATTGGTAGCATAAAATACAATGGAAAACAAGCTCTATCCCTGCTGTTGGCGAGCCGATCCATCTGACTCACGGCTAGCACTTGCAGTTCTCAGGCAGCTGACAAACTTTGAAATCCTTCCAGGAACTCGAGCTTTGTGTAACATGTACTGACGTCGTGCGTCTTGTTGCGTGATGATGCATTTCGCCTGGACGGCTTCTTCAGATCAGGTCTTGGTTTTGCCGTTCATCTGAATTTATATCCACTCCAATAGGTGTGATAGCTAAAAAGTCACATGTTGATTTGTTCTAGTACAAAACTTATATTAGAAGTTCTTGTGCAAATAAAAATGGGGCATATCACCTAAATATCTATCTTTAGGTGTAAATAAAATCGATGCCTACCATAAAAATACATGCATATCACTAAAAATACACAATTAAATGAATAATCACTATCAATTATAAACTCTAACCTTACAAAAACGTAAATATATAGGAAAAAAGACAAGTATCAACCTACTATAAAGGCAAAATGCTCTATAGTGCAAATATTAACAATCTAATTGTACTATTAATGATACTAATAAAAATCATAAAGGGACCCTAGAGATAAATGAAAATGTAAAACAATTATAAAAAGTTGTATAAATCAAATTCAACATTGAGTCCCTTGGGTTTTAAGGTTTCCAACTTGTGAACCCATTTCATTTCCTCTTTTCCTATATCTAAAATGTAATTCCCACCACGCTAAGATTTCTTTACCATCTGAATGCCTAGAAAGATTAAACCACTCAGATTTTTTTTTATGGTGTTTTTTTTTTTTAAATGTGCAGAAACACAGTGTTGTTTAAAACCTTTCTTGATATTATTAACATGTTTGTAAATCCTTTTATGAAGGACGAATAGTCCAGCCAACATATGGTAATCCACACAGACAGATTAAAAAATAAAAAATATTTTTACTAAAACATGTTATAAAATCAGAGAGAAATATATAAACAAGAGTGGAGCAGTATAGTGAAGTAAATGTTTAGGTGATAAGCCCTAACCAAATATAGATTGTGAAAGAGTTGTAGTAATACTCAATAGTGACTAAGTATTACTACAACTCTTTCACAATTTATATTTGGTTTGGGCTTATCACCTAAACATTTACTTCACTATACTGCTCCACTCTTGTTTATATATTTCTCTCTGATCTTGTTTTATGTGCTGGGGTTTAGCATATTGAGTGTGTTAGGAGCATATTGAGTGTGTTAGGAGCATATAAAATAATTCATACCAACTCTAAGGTATATCAAATTTATCAGAGCTCTCCAAATTAAACTAGAATGTTATAAAATCATTAATAAAAATCCCTCTTCTTTATATTTTGTTTTGAATTTGTTAATAACTTTTAAAGTCTTGTTTTTACTGCATTTTCCACACAAATAAAAGCCTTTTTTTATTGGCATTTAAAAAGGCATTGGGTATTTCAGCCTTAGGGTGGTTAAAAGTTAAAATTCGTTTGAGGCTTGGAGCTCCTCTAAACATAACAAAAAGGTCTAAAAATAAACGTAAACGTAATAAAAGGTCTAAAGTTCCCTATCTTTTTTGAGAAGGTGCCAGATTTTACCTTCTTACAATTACTATTAAAAAAAAAAACAAAGGTACTAGATTAGAATCAGCATACTTATTGTTATTACATTTTTTTTTGTTTAAAAATCAAATCGTTCTGATCTAATTATTTAACCTCCTCAAATGCTTTGTCTAATAACTCATTAGGGTATTTTTTTCTGTGAAAACTTATTTAAAACGATAGTAGCTTGTTCTTCAAATTTTTCTTTGCCAGTGCAATTTCTCCTTATCCTTTGTAATTGCCCTTTCGGAATATTATTTAGTGTCCGCTATTGTACAAAACATAACTATTCGTCTCTCCTTTTTTGAAGAAATGTACTGTTTTTAAAGTGCCTTTTTCTACATACATTTCCTGATCCAGGACATTCATACTAACAGTACTGAATTGACTACTTAAATAAATACCCCATTATTGATATTACTTAAAAAGGTCTCCAAGTTACTCTGAGAACCCTTCCATATAAAAAATAAACTGTCAATATATCTATGGTATGTGACCAGGTCCGTCTCCCATGCTGGGCTGTTATAAATAATTTCATTCACCCAACCCAGCACAACCAGTTTTGGCATAACTAGGGGCGAACCTGGTTCCCATAGTCGTACCCTGGTGCTGTAAATAAAACTTTTAATTAAATACAAAATAATTATTTTCTAAAATCCATCTGATACTGTCTATTAAAAAAGCAATATGATTTTCTGTAATTTACGATTTTTGGAAACATCCTTGTACTGTTTTGCAACCTAAATCATGAGGAATTGATGTATACAATGCAGATACATCCAAGGTTACTAAAATGTATCTTTTAAAATCGTAATTACATCTGTAGTATCTCTCAAGTATGAGGGCATTTGCTTTACAAATTGTAAAGGAAATGTCCTCATACTTGAGAGATACTTACAAGTTGTAAAGGAAATGAGAAAGCCAAACGGCCGAAACCCGTCGTGGCAAGTGGACATCTTGTTTTTAAGAGGTCTGATTTTATTATTTTGTTTTTTTATAAATACAGAGTTTTATTCACCAATATTTGCATCATGGATTTTGATTTGGTGGAGTACCGGCATAACAGAGATTGGGAACATAGTATCCAGATCCTCAACAAATATCCACTATATCTTTTGTTCGAAGCTGTTAGTCTGAGTCAACTTATTAAAGTGGCAGAGAATAATGTGAGTGGGACCACTAGAGTGTATATTAATTTATAATGTTGTAACTATACTACCCTATGGTCTTCTCTTTTTATTGGATTTTTATATTCCACTATTGTTTATACAGATAGTGTTAATATTTGGATGTACTGTGTGCTCTCACTGGTTTTTAACTATATTTTGCACCTTATTTGTTTGATTGTAGCACCACCTTTTATCAGTTTTTCCCATTGCATTTTATATTGTTATTGTCTGCAAAAGATTTTTGACAAAGTATTAAAAAATAACATTTTATTCATGATTGTGTTAATTTGGCCAATTACACGCGAGCCCTTGAAATTAGGAAACTGTGTATGAAATATTTTGAAATTTCTAAACATTTCATGCAATATTTATTTTCAACCCCTTGAATTAAAGCTGAAAGTCTGCACTTCAATTGCATCTTGGTTGTTTTATTTCAAATTCAGTGTGGTGGCATATAGAGCCAAAATTATTAAAATTGTATCAGTCTCCAAATATTTCCAGACCTAATTGTATTAAGTGATGAAACAACACATTAATTTTCCAGAACTAAAACACATAATAATGAGTAACGCAACTAAAGAAAAGGAGTGAAAAAAGCAAGCAATAAAGATATCAGTGAGTTAAAGGAACACTAAAGACCCCTAAAGCACTTTATGTCTAAAGAGTGTTCTCTTTTTTCCTTTTGCAGAAAGATCAGATTTCAATAGAAATTGGTTCTTTTAGAAATTAGCCTGGATACACCCTCCTGTCTTTTAAGCAGGGAACCAGTACAGTTACTTCCTGGTTTTGTTTAGCTTAGTGGAGCGCAACTCAAGAGGCAGCAATTGCTTACTCAGTGCACGTGCATAGCAAAGACTTCTCATTGAGCTGCTTTGGAAAGCCTGTAAATCAAAAGCAACAGAAAGTCTGAGTGGGGTTAGAAAGGGAAAGCTTGCAGAGGCAGCAGGCAAGGGAACTACAGGTTTTGCAAGCTGTTTTTAGAAAAAAAAAGTATAATTAAATACATGCAGGCAAGGCTGTCTTTAACTCAGGGCAAATGGGGTAGCTGCTTTGGGCCCTCAAGGAATAAGTGGGCATGAGGTCCACTGCCCACAACAATTTGGAGGAGCCATGCATTTAGGGCCACCCGATGGGTATCACAGTGGACCTTTTAAGAGTTCCACCAGCCCCCTATCGTAATGTCCAGCTGAGAGAAAGTGACCCTCATGCTCACTCCCATCAGACTCAGCCAGCATCACCAGGACCCCAAGTAAGCCATCCTCCTGGAAACATAAGGTATACTAACAGGAGGGTGGCTGGAAATATAAAAATTATGATATGTATGTGTGTATCTATGTCTGATTATGCATGTGTACCTGTGTATATGTGCCAGTCTGTGTATCTGTGTGTCAGTGTGTGTATCTGTGTCAGTGTTTGTACCCCTGTGTTAGTGTATGCATCTGTGTGTGTGGATGTACTGGTGTGTATCTGTGTGTGTCAGTGTGTGTATCTGTGTGTTTGTGTGCGTGTATCTGTGTGTCAATGTGTGTATATGAGTATCAATGTGTGTGTATCTGCATGTTAATGTGTGTTTGTGCCAGTGTGTGTATCTGAGTGTCAGTGCGTGTATCTGTGTGTCATTGTGTGAATCTGAGTCACTGTATATAACTGAGTGTGTGTGTCAATGTATATATTTGTCTGCCATTTTAATGAGTTAAGTAATTTAAATCAAACAAATCAAATCTTCCTTTCTTTCTCACCTCTCATATACCTCAGACTACCTCCAGAGTATCTCAAAAAAATCTCCAAGCGAAAACTTTGAAGCAGCACCTAGATTCAGCAACCAAGCTAAACTACTCCACAGTCCATATACAACTCTTAAACGCAACAACCCTAGGAATGTTTAACACCTGGGTGGGCCCATGCTTATTTGCAAACAGCAAACACCTAACTAATTAAATCAAATACCTTACCAATTACCAACAGGAAATCAAACCTTGTGCAACCTTGTGCAATCAAAAACCTTTTCCTAGAGATGACTCTTACTTGTAACAGTAAAAAGAACAATCTTAGACAGTTAAGTAATAATTAACTCTACAGAATATCCCCAAGCACACTTAGAGAGCACAGCAACCAAGCTAAACTAGCCAAGCCAATATCCCCAACGTTCTCGAGATTTAAGATAAGACCATGGACTAATGAAAGTATTTAGAAAATTGGGCAGACTAGATGGGCCAAACGGTTCTTATCTGCCGTCACATTCTATGTTTCTATGAATGACAGATGGATTACTGTAGGATCTGGTAGACTTAGAATTGTGGATAAAAGGTATTTTGCATAGTCTGTGGCTCTACATAATTCATTTTCAGCCATTTTAGAGTGTAGTGGTGTGTAATGGAGACAGGCCCAGGCACCAAGTGTAGTGCTGTTATGGAGACAGGCTCAGGCACCGGGTGTAGTGGTGTTATGGAGACAGGCTCAGGCTCTGAGTGTATTGGTGTTATGGAGACAGGCTCAGGCTCTGAGTGTAGTGGTGTTATGGAGACAGGCTCAGGCTCTGAGTGCAGCGTTGTATTGGAGACAGGCTCGGGTGTAGTGATATTATTAGTACTTTAACTTGTGGCTTGGTGAATAGTGTCTGGAGCAAGGATTTGGCTTTATTTCTCATGGTAGCTCTATTTGGAATGGAAATAAACTGATTAAAAAAGATGAATTGCAACTTTCTCAAAAGGGAACAAATGTTATCAGTGAACAGTTCAGAGGTTTTGTTAATATTTAAACTAGGAGGAGGGTCAAAAGAGTTATAAAACATCAATCCAATTGCCCCTCAAAACAAGGGCAGAAAGTGCCTGTAGCGAGTGTGTTAAAAATTGCTAAGCTTAGAGTCATGTTTACAAATGCTCACAGTTTAGGGAATAAGATGAATATAATTTAGTCGCTGTTACTGAGACATGGTATAATGAGAAAAATGCCTGGACATAGCAATACCAGGCTACTTTTTATATAGAAAGGACATATAGAAGGGACAGAGAAGGCAAGAAAGGGGAGGTGTGGCCCTGTATGTGTAGGATACCATAAAATCTCGCCTAGTAAAAGTTAGTGAGGTAAATATAGAGTAAGTTTGGGTTACGTTAGAATTTGGTAATCACACAGTGTGTAGGTGTGATTTGCAGGTCCGCTGGACACATAGAAGAGTTAGATAATTTACTAGTTGAGGAAATAGCTAAAATTACATTGAATGGGGAAGTTATCATAATGGGTGACTTTAATCTTCATGATGTGAACTGGAAAACCAAAATAGCTGTTTATGAAACTCCCTACTAAGATTATCTCTAAAACAAGTAGTTGAGGAGCCAAATCGTAAGGAGGCCATACTAGATTATGTGTAAACAAATGGAGATTTGTTGTCAGATATTACTGTAGGTGAACATTTTGGATCCAGTGATCACCAGTCAGTGTGGCTTAATGTAAAGGCAGTGAGTAAGTCATACCACAAACAAAAAAAAATATTTTAGATTTCAGAAAAACAGAATTTAAAAAAAATTAGAATATGGGTAAATGAGTCATTATCAGACATGGGATTATTTAAAAATTGCACTACTTAGGCAATAGAGAATTACATTAGGCTTTTCATTAAGTGAAAACAATTTAAGAAACCACTGTGTTACTCTGCAGAAGTAGCCAAAATAGTACAAAACAAAAAGTTAGCATTTATCCCCTGGCTACTTACCTCGGCTGCCCTCTTCTGCAGGGTGTGAGCTTACCTCCTCTCTGTTGCTCTGCTCACAGTATCTGGCTGCTGTTCCTAGGACTGCCCAACAGGTGGCGCCTGGACCTCCTGCAAGACTGGATAGTGGTGAAAATGGACTTACCTCAATCCTGCTGGGTTTTTCATCTTTTCCTTTGCCGCGGGCATCGGCTGGTGAGTACAGTACTATTTCTTCCTTACAGTCAGAGGGTCCCCTGCTGGGGGGTTCCCCATCTGGTCTCAGGATTTTTTCTGGATCAGTGGGAACAGGGGGCGCAAGCATGCAGGGATTCCCCCTTAGGTAGTCAGCTTCTGCGCTTTGGTCCGCCGCGCAGCGGCCTCAAGTGGTACGGACTGCGCAAGGGGTCATGGGTCGCCTGTGCCTAGTGTCACTAGTGTTCCTTCGGTGGCGTCGGGTGCCACTGCAACTGCTGCTGTAGGCGCGATAATAGGCGCTGTTGAGGTTCCCGCGGTGACGTGCCACTCTATGGGTGTTTCCAACTAGGCTCGGGGGTCCGCTTATATGTGCTGGGCCTCTGGGTTTTCATCTGTCGCAGGATATTAGGGATAAAATTGGGAAGGGATAATTTGTCGAGATTGTCTTCCTCCTGCCAATGGAGGAGGCTCCCTTCACTGGGGGAGAAGGACGGCGAGGAATTGGAGATGGAGAAAGAACAATCCATTACCGGATGGTCCCCAGGACTTTCGGAAATTGGATTTGTGCATTTTTAATCTGGCTTTGCACTGTTTTACTACCAGGACACCATTTGGAACGCTTGTCGTACCTATGGTGGAATTGTGACAAGCAATTTTGTCAATGTTTGGCGGTGCGCCCCTCAATTTTCTGGGACCAGATGGACATGGCATCTCCCATTATGACCCATGCCACAGCAGGGTGATTTCACGTCCTTTCTTGGGGAGGCTGGTGGGGGAGGATCATCCGCCTCCCCACAGGCACGGTAGAGGTCAGGCTGTTGTTGCACATTTAACAGTCATTGTACATG